TCATCATCATCATCATAGCTAAATAAGTCGTCCATTTACTACTGGTTTTTAATTCATACTTGGCGAAATCAGTTGTCGAGTATAGGTTGATTTTTCCGACTCGTCCTGTAGAAAAGCATAACTGGTGGGTAATACGATTACACTGACAACTATAACCTAGTTAGACATTGCGCAGAGTAATTTATACTAGGACTGGGAATCTATAATTTGCTCAGATTCGTCAAATTTGCTTTATGCATCATATAATAACCGCTTGAAGAGTCCTTCTTGCGATCGACATCTTGGCCATCTTGACTTATCGTCTGAAGGCAGATGTTAAATCGAACCTTTGTCCAGGGATACAATTAAGATTCTGAAAACATCATGGCATCCGAGATGCATTTTTGGTTTGCCAACGCGGGCAAAACCTCAAGAGGAGAGAACAGGACCTTATATAGCACAGTATTTAGCAGATGTTCTCGATACAGTGAATAATGTGTGACAGTGGAAAATTCTATTGAAATCTCAGAGACTAGAACGATTTACCTTATCAGTGGAGCGACAGCAAGATGACATGATGAGTCGCGTTCGCAGCGACATATTTGAGGCAACAAAGTGGAGAAGACAGAAATGCATACGTGACTCTGACTTCTTCAGCTTCTTGCTCTACGCCATTCTTGTAAAGGGTTATCGTAAAAGCATTTGCAAATGATGTGAACGACCGAATCTATGGGAGACTGCTCATCAACAAGTGTGTGCAGACTGAAACAAAGGTAGCCAGAAATGAGTTCGCAACCTTTGATTTGCGGGCGAACACGTGGCAAATCACAACTGGAGCGAATATTCGAGCAGGCAGGGACCTGTCTAGCTCTACGTGTTCGAGCTTTGAACTGGTCATTAGGACGTGGATGAAAAAATGACAATTAGGCCCAACACTGGAGCCAACTACGCGTACTTTCAAAGTATTAACTAAAAGAGCATTGGGGAAGAAATTGAAACGCGATCCCACGATTCCACTTGCGCCTTTGAGGACTGCAGCTCTAAGTTTGAAACTGTCATAGTTTGGACAGAGTCTCCTCTGTGGTGACGACATAGATATTATGTAAAGTTAGGCAGGAAAACTAGGCCGTCTTAAACCAGACTACATTTGAAAGATACTGAAAGTGAAAAGACGGATTGCTCTGGGGAACATCATTTCCAGGCCTTGAAAGGGCATAAGTGTTCAGGCAAATATTTTATAATGACGGCGTACGGGTTCTCGCAGGGAAGGTTCACGACTGCTACGATGGCGGGAGACCTAGAAGGCGGTACTTAAATATCTGGAACATGGACATTGATAGCCCTTGCACATGAACTTCAGGTTTGGTACACTTCCTTTCAAAAGTAGGGCAGCAGTCTGAGTGCAATCGGACAGAGGAGACCAAAGCGAATAACCAGACGCGTAAAATTCAGTCGTATGAATCGATGACGCCAAAGTTCAGCATCTGCCTACACGTCTGCAATTTCAGTTGACATTCAGAGTCTAGGTTGGTCTCCTTGGACACTTCCAAATCCAGCGCAAAGTCACCACAGCCGAAAAGCTCTCTACAACACAAAGTACTGATAGTTCGACCGACGATGCCGACGATGTTCACCGTGCGCTCCCTAGTAATGTAAAGCCGGCGCGACTAATTGCGCGTGAATTGGTTTATAGTGTGAATGGACTTGCGCGGCATCTACCGCACCTTCTAATTCTTTCTCACCTGGGCCGGTGTCAAGACATGCTCAAGAAGACCGGGGGTGAAGGGAAGTGCGCAGGTGGCTCCCACGACCGGACCCGAACCTAGGCGTATCACCACACTCCCTGGTCCACGACAAACCCTTGTCTAGGACTTTACATAAACAACAGCAGCAAAACAACGACTCAGAAAGACGGCTGGGATGACTGGGGAGCCATACTCACACACACCACACACCTTTCACTTAGGCGAAAGGTGGCAGTTGAGTGCGTTACGTTGTGTGGCGATGGGTACAGGTGTTGGTGAGAAATGGTACGATGTGGTGCAGCCGAGGGTTGTTTACCTCAGGTTTTCGTGAATGCGCATGCGGTCTAGCAGGCCACTGCGATGGCTGAATGTGCAAGGGCAGTGCGGCGCCTGGCGTATTTTCGTGCTTCAGACACTGTTTTATCAAACTTCGTGCAGTGGATTCACAAGTAACTAACCAGGACGATTCCAAAGGTGAATGGGCAATCGCAATGAGGACAGATGTGGACCGAGCCTATATTAATGGAGGTGGGGGTGATTATGGTGAATGGTGGGAGGTCGTCGGGTGTCAGCAACTTTTTAGTCGTTGGCGGCGGTGGCGGAGGTGGTTGTGCTCGACGTAGTTGCAGTAGTTGAGGGAAGGGTAGGGGTAGTGGCCGAAGATATTGCGGTGGGCGCCGATGTGGTTGACTTGGAGGTTGGAGCAGGCGCGGTAGTAAAGGCAGCAGCTGCGGTTGTCAGGCGGTTGATGAGCTGGGCCCGAAGATGATCGATCCGCGCGCGAAATGTTCACTGAGAGCACTGGGACGTTTGGCAAGGTTAAGTGGCGACGATGCGAATCGGAGGCGCCTGAGACTTGTAAGCGGCCCTTCCGGTTTTGGCGGCGGCGATTCGGTTTATATCGTAGGCCGCTGCAGCAATCTTCACTTCTCTTCTCTAGACCAGTTTATTGTCGGTGAGTTCCGCCAAGGTGTCTGGATTGAATTAAGAGGATTACTCAATGTGTTCTTGCAGTTTTGTTTCAGTCCTCCCGGTGGGCAAGCTACGGTGGCGACATCACAATAGAGTCGGCAGACGTATATTTTTCATACGCAGGAGATTTCCCTCCAAAGTAGTTGCAGTTGTCTCAGCACTACGCGAACGCTGGGGATCCCGGTCTGTTCTAGAACTTCCGTGTTGGTGATCCTGTCTTTTTATCTCAGCTTTAGTATTTTACGAAAACAGCTGAGACAGAATTAATTGAGTTTCTTGGCATTATTGAAGTATACAGGCCAAGTCTTCGTCCCCTGAAGAAGTGTCGTCAGGACGACAGCCTTGCATCTATTCAATTTGCTGTTCACTTGAAGGCCGTGGCGATTCCACAGGGCGTTCTGTAGCCGGCCGAAGACCTGGTTAACCTTGGAGATCGCGCTTGCCACTTCATTGCCGATTCTGATGCAGCATGGCATTAAGCTGTCTAAGTAATTGAAATTATCCACGGTCTTCAGTTCGGCGCCGTCGACGCGGATGCGAGGGATACTAGGGTCAGCATTCGATGGACGTTGATGCATGACCACCGACCTTTCCTTATTGAAAGTCAGAACGAAGTGGGCGCGGCGGGAGGAGAAAAGATACATGTTCCGTTGCAGGTATTCTTCGGTGGTACTGTTGAGTGCGTAGTTGTCAGCCCAGAGCAGATCATGGATAGTAGTTGTACATAGACAAGTCGGGGTCTTCATTCGCCGGCTATTGAGAAGGCGCCCGTCGGCCCCGTAGTCGATGCGGATCCCAGGGGGCTCGTCGTAGTAGGCGTCCATCAACGTGGCAGAAAGCATGAGACGGAGAGTGTGGGCGCGAGTAGGTAGCCCTGTTTAGTTCCTTTGCTCAGCGCCAATGCGTCGGAGATTGCGCCGTTGTCCGTGACGCGCACCATCATCCAGTCGTGGAGCTGACGTACCATGCGTGTGAATCGTTCGGGGCAGTTGAACTTCTGCATGATTTTCCACAGTCATTCGCGATTCATCGTATCAAAGGCTTTCGTTGGATCCCCCGAAAACGATTTTGCAAGGTATCACCAACAGCACTGCCACTGATATTTTTCAAAAAACTCCTCTTAACATTTTCGGCTATGACACCACTTTTCAGTTTCAGTTCATTCTGATGGGACACATTTGTGCCAAATGCAAAACGAAGGCCAACACAAAACGGGGAAATAACGTCATCACTTCGGAGATGATAGCACGACCGCCGTTCTCGACGATATTCGCCGTGCGCTCCACAACATTGCGAGGGCGGGGACGATAAATTTGCTTACAGTTGTAGTAGACTTGCATAGCATCTACCACACCATCTCCTTCCTCCCCACCTGGGCCGGTGTCATGACGAAGTCAAGAGGACCAGAGGCCAGAGAGAGCTCACTTGGTTGGAACGATGAAAATCTGCACTTAAGCGTCCCACCACACTGGCTCGGATCCCACATGCCATAGAGGCCACATTAGGAGGGATTCATTACAGCCCGACCCTTTGTCCGCCAGTCGAGCAATCTACACATACACACATCTGGCTTATTATGAGGTCCGATTTGCCCATAAGTTGGCAGCCATCCAAGCTAAGGTTTATGCCGTGCCGTGATAAATTCACGTTCGATAGATTGTTGGTGGTGAGTAATATGCCGTGAGACCATCGAGCTCACTCTATCTTCTCACTTCCAGACACCAGTTCACTGTTTAAGCCGGTAAGATGTCTGATGCCCGAAGCGGACTCAATGGCTGACAGAGCTGGAGAACGATCTGTGCGCGCCACACGCACGACCTGCCCTCCCAGACGCACACACCAGAATTATACATATAAGAGGAGACGGCTCAGATTTCACATGTGTGAAAGTGTCATTAAGAAGGAGCCATGGCAGTCTTGTGGTGAGGTACCTGACTAATTTACCTTTGACAATTTGGTCCCTTTTTCTTTGACCGCATTGCTTGTTTGAATGTGACGTAAAAAGACACACCTGAACAACCCGCCTTGCTAGCGTGCTCTGCTGTGGTATTCTGTTGTCAGTTTTCTTAACGTTCAAAAACCTCTATATTATTTACTGCTCCGATTTACTTGCTGCATTTAAGGCTAGGGGCTCGTGAGATATAACTCGTTAGTTCGTGGGAACATTACAATTTACAACATTGGTGACTCCCGACATTTACGCAGACTTTATACCTTTCTGTCATACTGGATAACATTTAACGTACTATTTGCTTGCGAATATCTATTCCATTAACATTTATTTTCCTCACGAATTCTGATATTATGTCTCACGCCGATCAACAACTTGATGCCCCCGCCCAGTCCCTTCATGCAATCAATTTTACCTTGCCTGAATTCTGGCAACACGCTCCAGAACTTTACTTCATCCGCATAGAATCAGCCTTTTATTCTGCCAACGTTACCAAGGAGTTAGCAAAATACCACAAACTTGTGGAGGTTCTCCCTGCCAATATTATCTCACAAGTTCAACCCTTGTTAGTGAAACCCCCTGCAGACGCTCCCTATTCTGCTCTGAAGGCGGAAATCCTTCGTCTCAATGCTGTATCTGACCGACAACGCTACCACCAGTTGAACAAGGAGGAATCACTGGGCGACCGAAAGCCCTCAGAACTTCTCCGACGAATGCGTACTCTCTTAGAAGACATGCAGGTCGACGAGAAACTCGTTAAAGAGATGTTTCTAGAGAGGCTGCCTGCAGATGTCCAAACGATTTTGGCATCCGGCTCGCAAGACCTTACACTTTCACATCTTGCTGAAATGGCAGACCGAATGATAGAGGTTCAACGGTTCCAGCCACCTTCCGTTGCTCAGATTTCCACATCCTCTTCAACGGTTAACGAGCAGTTACTGCAACAGATGTCGACTATGGCAAATGAGATAGCCTCCCTAAAACTACAGCTTGCTCGCATTACATGTAGTCGCTCACCCAGCCGTCATCGTTCACGTTCGCGACCTCGCACAGTCAATTTGTGTTGGTATCACGCAAACTTTGCCGCCAAGGCTCGCAAATGTTCTTCCCCTTGTTCATTTAAACCGAAACAGGGAAACCAACCAGCCAGAGAATAGACGCGACCGTTTTCTCTGGCTCTCCCAGCTCTGGTCGCACCTTTTATGTCTGCGACAATGTGACTCGCAGGCGCTTCCTGGTGGACACCGGAGCCCAGATCAGCGTGGTTCCCCCCACTCCAGTTGACCGCCGCTGTCCCAGCCCTGGTCTACATCTCCAAGCTGCAAACTGTTCCCCAATTTCCACTTTTGGTAGTCGTTCCCTAACGCTGAACATTGGTTTACGTCGATCATTCTCCTGGATATTTGTGATTGCCGATGTGCCTCATGCGATCCTTGGTTCGGACTTCCTAGCCGAGTTTGATCTCCTTGTTGACTGTCGGCGTTCCTGTCTCCTCGACCGCACAACTGGTCTTTCTGTCCGCGGTCTTACACCCTTTAATGACCCCTGCAATTTATCTGTTCTGGATACAGGTATTGCTTGCCCATACCGAGACCTGCTCCTCCAACACCCCAACATAATCAAACCCCAGTTTCGTAGTGGTGAGATCCAGCATGACGTTGTCCACCACATTCGCACCTCTGGCCCCCCAGTATTCGCACGGCCCAGACGACTGGCTCCGTCCCGTCTGCAAGCGGCGAAGGCCGAATTTGAGCACATGCTGCAACTGGGCATAATTCGCCCGTCCGAGAGTCCATGGGCGTCCCCTCTGCATATGGTGCCCAAGGCAACATCAGACGACTGGCGGCCCTGTGGTGGCTATCGCGCCCTCAACAATGCGACCATCCCGGATCGTTATCCCGTCCCTCATCTTCAAGATTTTGCTGGAGCTCTTTTCGGCAAATCGGTTTTCTCGAAGATAGACCTTGTTCGGGCCTTCCATCAGATTCCTGTCGCTCCTGAGGATGTTCCCAAAACTGCCGTCACCACACCATTCGGCCTGTTCGAATTTATTCGCATGCCATTTGGTCTTCGCAATGCTGCCCAAACATTTCAGAGGTTCATTGACCGAGTCCTACGTGGTCTCCCGTTTGTGTACGCTTACATCGATGACCTCTTGGTGGCCAGTCGAAATGCCGAGGAACACAAAGAGCATCTTGCTTTAGTGTTTGACCGCCTCGATCAGTTTGGCGTGGTCATTAACCCTTCGAAGTGTGTGCTGGGTGTGCCGTCCCTTGATTTTCTTGGTCACCATGTCGATGCACAAGGTTTGCGTCCCCTCTCTTCCAAGGTTGAGGCCATTCGTGACTTTCCTCCACCAACCTCCAAGCGTCAGCTGCAACGTTTCCTTGGCATGGTAAACTTTTATCGCCGGTTCCTACCGAACTGTGCCGACCTTATGCTGCCACTCACCAACTTGCTCTCTGGTCCCAAGGGTCCCCTTGAGTTACGTGGTCACGCGCTGACTGCATTTGAGAGAATAAAGACCTCCCTTGCTGATGCTACCTTGCTCACTCATCCTGCTCCAGAAGCCCCGTTGTCCCTGATGGTTGATGCTTCGACCGTTGCCGTAGAAGCAGTCCTCTAACAGCATATCAACAACTCGACACGACCGTTGGCATTCTTTTCCAAGAAGCTTTCACCTGCCGAGACGAGATATAGCACGTTTGGCCGTGAACTTCTTGCCATTTACCTAGCCGTAAAACATTTCCGACACTTCCTGGAGGGTCGTGACTTCACCATTTTCACAGACCACAAACCACTTACATTTGCCATCCGATCCCATTCTGACAAATATAACCCGAGAGAGATTTCTCATTTGGATTACATCTCGCAATTCACCACCGACATCCGCCAAATTGATGGCCCGAAGAATGAGGTGGCTGATATGCTGTCCAGACCCTCACTGTCTTCCCTCCAATTCTCACACGGGATCGATCTTTGTGCCATGGCGGCTGAGCAACAGCGAGTGGGTTGTCCTGGCGACGAGTCTGTTAGTGGTCTCCAACTCAAAGACGTTCCTCTGACCACCGGCTCTGGTACCATACTTTGTGACGTCTCAACTCCCTTTCATCGCCCTTTTGTGCCCGCCTCGATGCGTCGAGCTGTATTTCAAACTCTACATGGACTCTCCCACCCTGGGATCCGAGCCTCTCAAAAGCTCCTCGAGGAAAGGTTTGTCTGGCCTGGCATGAACAAGGACGTCAAAGCTTGGGCCCGGTCGTGTCTGAGCTGCCAGCGCAACAAGGTGCAGCGTCACAACAAGTCCTCACCAGGCACTTTCCCCAGTCCCGACGCACGGTTCAGCCATGTGCATCTGGATGTCGTAGGCCCCTTGCCTCCATCCAATGGTTTCACCTACCTCCTTACCTGTGTCGATCGATATACTCGCTGTGCTGAAGCCATTCCTTTGCCGAATGTTCAGGCTGAAACCATCGTGAAGGCCTTCGTCAGTCGTTGGGTCGCCATGTTCGGTGCCCCATTCACGGTTACGACTGATCGTGGTGCCAAGTTTGAGTCGGCACTCTTCCAAACGCTACTCAATTTTCTTGGCTGCACACGCATTCGGACGACAGCCTACCACCCAGCTGCCAACGGTATGGTTGAACGTTTCCATCGTCAGCTAAAGACCGCCCTGCGTGCCGTCGAAGACCCAGGAAACTGGTCGGACAACCTTCCTCTTGCACTCCTCGGCATCCGCGCAGCTCTGAAGTCGGATCTGGGCTGTAGCGCAGCCGAATTGGTTTTCGGCACTACGCTCCGACTGCCAGGCGAGATGATCACCCCAACCTCTCGTGGAGCCGACGAGACTCCTGACAATCTTGTGCACCGTTTGCGGCAATTCATGTGCTCGCTTTCCCCGGTTCCACCTCAAACTCCTATGACTGAGTCTTATGTCGAAAAAGACTTGGACAACTGTACTCATGTGTTCGTCCGGTGTGACCGTGTGCGCCAGCCGCTGGAATCACCTTACGAAGGACCGTTCCGTGTGCTCGCGCGCAACGCCAAAACCTTCCGGATTCTTCGCAGTGACAAGGAGGACGTGGTCAGTGTCGATCGCGTCAAGGCTGCTGTTGCAGAGGATCCGCCGGACCGGTCACAAGGACAAACATGTGCTGACCCCCTAACCCCTGTTCCTCCATCTTCCCTATCCCCTACTCGTTCAGCCTGCCCACTGCCTTGCCCTTCCCCTCCCTTGCCCTCCACCCCTCCGTCCCGCATACTTCCTCTCCCTACATGTCAACAGCATCCAACTGCAACACCATCGTCCACCACAGCACGCAGTCAACCCTCTTCGACTGTACCTCCTGCATACATAACTCGCAGTGGCCGTCACGTTCATTGTCCCGATCGTTTAGTTACCCATTTTTTCTAGACTTGTGCATATCCTCCGGCGCCGTATCCCGTCGCCCTCCGGTCTAGAAGGGGGGTACTGTGGTGAGGTACCTGACTAATTTACCTTTGACAATTTGGTCCCTTTTTCTTTGACCGCATTGCTTGTTTGAATGTGACGTAAAACGACACACCTGAACAACCCGCCTTGCTAGCGTGCTCTGCTGTGGTATTCTGTTGTCAGTTTTCTTAACATTCAAAAACCTCTATATTATTTACTGCTCCGATTTACTTGCTGCATTTAAGGCTAGGGGCTCGTGAGATATAACTCGTTAGTTCGTGGGAACATTACAATTTACAACAGTCTAACTCCCAGTCCACCGTTCGGCCACTCAATACACAAACGTACAGTAAATGGGCTAACTCGTGAAATGTTAACCGGAATTCCGAAATGCGTTTTCGTTTCAAAAAGATCAATTAAGATAAGTTGTAAAAATAACCATCTGCAGCATAATACTATCTTAATTTAGTTACCTCGGGATGTTGGATTTCGAACGAACTACTGTCCGGTTGAATGGGAAACTATACTCTATAAGAAATGACTACAAATGCAGCATGAATTTTTCTCATTGGTCGTCGATGTCCTTAAAAATTCAACTATATTTCATGGGGAATATGCATAAAAATATTCATTCTTTTGCTCCTTTGGTAGACAATCACATCTTTCAATTTTATACTAGAAGAATTGGTATACTTAGGTTTTAAAAGTGTTTCTCATTGTGAGGTTTTTTAATAGCGTGAAATGGCCGTTCATAAAACGTCATGCCTCTGCATTTACCAATGTGGCTTATAAAGTTAACGATATAGCTGAAACCCACTGCTAAATTTGTTGAACCCCATATAGACTCCTCTTACTGCCGTAGAGGAATGCATGATATTCTGCACGCGAGAAGTATACGGCTTGTAGTTTGGAAATTGAATGCAAATGTAACGGGAAGTCAGGTTCAAAATAATTCGGGAATTAGAAAAGTTTTGGAAAACCGAATTATACCCCTCCTTCGAATATAAAATTAAAAGAAGACGTGATTTTCTACCGAATGAGCAACATAATGAATATTTTACGCATGGTTTCCATGAAAGATGATTGAATTTTTATGAGCGTCGAAAATTAATGAGAATAATGCATGCTTCATAAACAGTCATTTTTACAGAGAATCGTTTTTACGTGTAGCCGGACAGTAGCTTGTTCGAAAGCCGGCATCCTGAGGTAAATAAATTATTGTAGCATTATGCCGCACGATGATAAGTTCTACAACCCTACTTAATTGATGTTTTCGAAAGGAAAACTCATTCCGAACTTTCGGTTGACATTTCCTGAGTAAGCACTCCTACTGTACATCTAGAATGGCTGCGGGGTCTACGAAGAATCGTCAACTGGCAACCTTCTAAGTCACCGCTTTAAGCGCACCATGATAGATGTAGGCTCGTCAGATTGCTTATAATGCGAAATTATGTCCCGAGAGTCGACCCCTGCATCAGTTAATTGTCTGGGCTGGTCAACGAACTGATACCGCCACAAACGTGATCTGGCTTCCATAAGCACATACCAAGATTTCACACACAGGGGCTAGACTGCTGGGATCTCGCATGCAACAAAGGAGTCGCGTGGTGAAATGAGATGAAGGGCACACTTTTTATCTACGTAATGGGGGATGTTGGAATTATACCCAACCCCGAAGTGGGGAACACCCGAGGCTCGACCTTGCGACCTGTTAGTTAGAAGTCCACGCCGCTAAACACTGGGCCACGAGCCCGTTGCCCTGTCGGTTTCGATCGGGAATATACAATGGTAGGGGCGCTCACCGATCGTTCTTACGGAACTCAGTCGTCCCCTTGTGCCTTACGAGCTGTCTCTGGAGCCCAACCAGAAGAAGCACAACGGCGCATGATATAGGCAGAATGTCATCACCGACAAAGACAAGGGAGGTTTGTCGGTAATAACATACTGCCTATATCATGCGCCGCTGTGCGGCTGCTGGTTAGGCTCGAGAGAGAGAGTCCGTAAGACACAACGGAACGATTGAGTTCCGTAAGAACAATCGGTGAGCGCTCCCTACCGATTTTGGAGTTGTTCATTTTCGGTGCGCGGCGATGCGCCCTCGTCTACTGCGATTTACTGCAGATTTGTGTGGACTTACACGTGACCGAGTAGGCTCTTGTGGTGACTGAATGTGCGAGAGCAATGAGAGCAGTTAAGGCGGCAGGGGGGGGGGGTGTATGCTGGTGAATGTGGTCATAGTAGTATCTAAATGACCTCACTGCAACCATACATTTGAGACTACTGTTGGCCTAAAAGACCACCACCAAATCTATTACACTGTGATAAGGAAACGAAAGTCAAGAAGAACGTTCAACAGGTGCCTTGTCCCCTTTCCTATCCTAAATGTCCCAAAATATTCGGTCATACGCACGAACACGGCAATGATCACCAAAATAGCACAGAAGAGGCTGTTTGTGCAAAGTAACAGCCTTACTGCACTCTCAGGTCATGTATGCATCTATGCGGCTATGTACGTTTACACATTAACAGTTATGAAATATTGACATCTCCTATGCAGAATTAATTAGGGACAAATATCCATTACGGAGACGCCTGTGAAAAATAATAGTTAGACATGGGCATTCTTATGCATCTAAATTCTACGCTTTTATGAAGTGTGGTTCCTTATGGTTCACATACGGACTGGAGGATGATTTTAACAGTCGCCAAACTGAAGTCCGTTTGGCGCCGCATTATGTCAACGTTACATTTGGAGATCGTTGCATTCTGAGTCATCTTCGCTACATACAGAAGATTCGGTGGTCTTGCTATCCAGTACATTCCCGAATCTAGCCCCCCTTCAGCTGAAATGCAGCGAAGAACCATTGTGCGTGTGCCCCCAAACCATCCACGTGGTAGATGCGCTGGATCAACACGGGGTCCATATCGGATCCAGACGCACGTTATCGGAATGCGTGCCATAACAAATGCAACATTTTGGGGGTACGGTTGCCTATCCAGTTACCGGCAGACGTCGCGCACATTGGGACCACTGCGGCCCTCCCCGTTATTGTTGTTGTTGGTAAAAATCCTGGTTATCCGCTGTATGGACCAGGGGATGTAAAATGGAGCTCCAAGATGCGGGCTGGACCGTGCCATCCACCTGCGCTCTCCCCCGCCTCCGGCAATTTTGACTCTGCCTTGACACCGGGTCCAGGTGAGGGAGGAGGAGGGAGTGTGGTGGATGAAGCGCAAGTCTACTCTCACTATAAATCCCGCGCAAGTCACCATCCCTGCCCCACTCTGTTGTGGAGCACACGGTGGACATCGTCGAAACCGACGGTCGAACTGTCGTGTGTGTGCGTGTGTATGTGGCCCGCCGGGGTATAGGGGTGTCCAGTTGTGGGTCCACGTGACAGTCATAGTAGTTCGCTCACTTGCTTGCAGGAGTAGATTGCGCCTAACGTCCACTAACTGACACCCAACTGTCAGGCGTGCCTCCCCGAAGCTAGGCTCTGCCTAGTGGCCACACCCCGGTAACCGCCTCGACCGGCGGGCCAGACCAGGTGAGAGCATCCATGTGTACATCTCCGCACACGGTAACTCGGCTCCGCTCCCACAATCGATGGCCGGATGGATCATCGCCTCGGCACCGCCGAGATGAGGCTCCGTCTGCAACACCGTAGGAGACCACAAGGTAAGTGACCACCAGATAAACGAACATTGATCTGCTGGATTGCTATTTGTCTGCTTGTTTGTGTTTGTCCTTGCGGTTCTGCTGGATTTGTCTGCTCACCGTTTTTATTACAGTAACGAATCAGCTTAGAGAGGGACGGGAAATCTCTGCTTCCCGTCTCTCTACCCTTTCCCCTCATTACCCCTTCAAGTACTACGGCGATCTCATAGGCAAGCCCAAGCTAAATTGGGCCGTTCTTCCACTAAACAAAAGCGGCGGCCCAGAGTGAGTTCGTCAACCGTCTGGTACACCTGAGCAGCCCTATTTGGGGAGAGCACTGATTACCCCCGAGAGGGGGAAGGGACTAGAGAAAGTGCCCTAAACAAATGCTGGGGGCCCACGCCGTCTGCAGGTTGACAGTGGCCTCAGACGCAAAACTCACGGCCGAAAAAACTAAACAAGAAACAACACACACTCTCTTCCCCCTCCTCCCCGCCTCGCCACTCGCCAGACTAGTAGGCTGAGGCGCTCACTCTGGCGGCCTGGAATGTTCGCTCCCTTCTAGACAACCCTAGGAGTAACCGGCCGTAACCGAGGACGGCGCTAGTGTTTCGTGAACTGGCGCGCAACAAAGTGTGCATCTCTGCACTCAGTGAGACTCGGTTCTCGTGAACTGGTGACCTCAACGTCCGCGTCGGCATAGACCATGCTGCCTGGAGAGGAGTGTTGGGTTCCTATGGTCTCAACAGCTCCAATGGCAATGGTCTGTTCCATCTACGAACCAGCGCAGAACGCCGACTCACCCTGACCAACACCTTCTGCCTGCCGAGCAAGAGAAGGCCACCTGGATGCACTCTTGGTTGCGACACTGGCTCCTGCTGGACTATGTCCTCGTCCGGAGGCGAGACCAGCGAACGGGCTGGTGACCAAGGCAATCCCGGGTGCTGACGGGTGGACCGACCATGGACCTTTTATGCCCAGGATGCGGATTCGCCTACAGCCTCGCAGGAGACCTCAAGGTAAGCGACCCCCAGGTAAGCTGAATATTGTTTTGTTGCATTTGCCTGCTTACCATTTCCATTTCAGCAATTAGCTAGCCCAACGTCTTGCCTGCCTTCCAGTTGTCGCTCCAGCCACCATCGTCGCCGCTGACGAGGACTTCTCTGTGGAGAACCGACGGTGTCAACTGCGGGACACAGTCCAGTTGACGGTCTTGGCTCTCCTCGGTCACGCACGCCACACACACCAGGACTGGTTCGACGACAACGACGCCGCCATCAGCAAACTTCTCGCCGGAAAGAACTGCCCGCACACATCCTACGTCAACCGCCCCACCGACGACAACAAAGCAGACTTCTACCGTAGTCGCCACTTTGTGTAACAGCGGCTGCGGGAGATGCAGGACGCTTTGACGGTTCGCAAGTCCGAGGGGATCCGAGGTTACGAGGATCGCAGCGAATGAAGGAATTTCTCCTCCGCAATCAAGGTCGTCTACGATCTGCTCCTCTTCTCAGCGTCGACTGCAGTACCCCACTCATTGAAAACAGGCAAATTCTTTAGCGATGAACCGAACACTTTAAAAGCGTCCTCAACCGTCCCTCCATCATCTCCGACGTCGCCATCGCCCGTCTGCCGACCTCGACCTCCTACCCTCTATCCACGAAAACATCAGGGCCGTGCAGTAGCTTTCCAGCGTGAAAGCGCCCGGATCGGACGCGATCCCTGCTGATATCTACAAACACCGTAGCCCCTGACATATGGAACATTTGATGGCGGTTTTCTAGGAGATGTGGCATCACGCAGAAGTCCCACAGGACGTCAAGGACACCCCAATCGTCTACCTTTGCAAGCGAAAATGGGATACGCTAATGCCGCGACAACCATCCGGCATCTCCTTGCTGAACATCACCGGGAAGATTTTCGCTCGCATCCTTCTCAACCTCATCAACAGCCACCTTCAGCAATGTCTCCTGCCGAAAAACTAGTGCATCTTCCGCCATCACCGCGTTACCACGGGCAGGTGCTTCGCTGCCCTTCACCTGCAGGAGAAGTGTTAGGAAATGCGGACCCACCTGTGCTTGTCCTTCGTGGATCTGACGAATGCTTTCGACACGGTTCATCGCAAATTACTCTGGAAAAGCATGTAGAAATTCGACTGCCTGAACGATTCACTCACATGGTGCGTCGGCTCCACTGCCATCCTCCTCCATCACCTTAATATCCGCTGCGACGGCTCCTGTACCCACCGCCAATGCGCTCAATCCTAACACACCGACAACCGACAGCCTCACCACCGCCACCATCAGCGTTGTGGACTCGGTCTATACCTGTCCTCATTGCGATCTTACCTCCACCTCACGTATTGGCCTGGCAGGTCACTTGCGAATCCATCGCACAAAGACTGGCGAACCAGTACCTGGAGCACAAACATACACTCACTGCATCCCCTCAACTGCCCTCATTGTCCCCGCGCATGTACTCACGGCATGGGCTTATTAGGCCACATGCGAATTCTCAAAAACCTGCGGTAGACGACCACCGGCTAAAACACATGATCACATCTTCTCCACCTACATCACACAACATCATTACCAACCACCATCATCCAACTGCCATCTCCCACGCAAGTGGTAAGTGTGCGTTTCGGCCCCGTCTCATTGCGGCTCTTTTGGTGCATGTGTGATTCGAGTCTGAGACTATCACAGTGCGTCAAGCGCCGTGGCTTGCAAGGCTGCTAACTGACGTCCCAACTCGGCCCACGCAGTCTTTCCAGTTGTGTGAGTGCTTGTGTGTTGTGGCAGACTGGTGGGCTGAGAGCCAGGCTGAAACAGGTCCTTCATAACCTGACCTACGGCAATCTAACGCATGTTAGGTGTACGCCGCACAACCCCCGTTGTGTGACACCCTGTTGTTTGTGTTCGGGGGGCCAGGTCGTGCATGTGGCGCGCATAGACATGGTCACTAGATCTGTCAACCACCGCGTCCATTTCCCGCACCCCTCAAATGACCGGCTCGGACAGTGGCTGGGGCCTGGGAATAGGAAATGAGGGTGAGGTTGAGAACTCGGCTCATTTTCCTCACTATAAACAATCTAACACGCCTGAAGCTATCACACTGCGCTAAAAGCCGTGGCTTGAAAGGTTGCCAACTGACGGGGCAACTTGGACCTCACAGTCGGCCCAGCGCAGTGGAGCGGTCGACTGGTGGTCTGAGAGTCAGGCTTAAATGGTTCCTTCTTAATGGGGCTTTTATGACTCTCCCAATCTGTGGGATCCAAGCCGGGTGTGACGGCGCGGTAAGGTGCGGCTTTGGCCACGCCAGTCCCTTCTGTCGTTTGTTAAAATCCTGGTCATTTGTTGTACGGACCTCGTCGTAAAAGACGGTCGGACTGTCGTGTGCGTATGGGTGAGTGCAATATGCCCGGAAGAAGAGTTTCGTTTTGCGGCAGCCATTAGGCACAATTCGTCAACCAGCTGACAGAGGTCAGATATACCACTGGTAGGAAAGTTGCATAGAGCCTGAAGCTTATTTCTTTCGGATTTTGCTCATTGAGCTTTGTATTATAAAGAAATAAAATCAGGAAGTTACCACGTCGCGCCAACAGTTCTGGTTTGACCGTTGCTAGTTGTGTAATGACTCGATGCTTTCCTGAATAGAAAGTCAATTTGCCATACCCACTCTTAACGTAGTGATTATGGCAGCATGTCCTGTGGAAGTTTTCAGGATTGCTGCCTGAAGACTGATTAGTTTGAGGTGAGGGACGGCCAGGCGCCCAGCAGCTTGCATGGAGATTTTTACATCACATTTTACGCACGACGTATCGCGCAAGAAACTTGAGGAGGTTTAAAACGGAACTCAGCGCCAGAACAAAATCGAAGCCTTATACGGCTGTTCGAATTTTGTCAAAAACTTCCTCAACCTTCTCTAAAAACACCACTAAACTCCCCAAACGTTTGTTAAGTAGCAAATATGGTCCTGCATGATTTAGGAAAGGCTGTCTTCATCCAACAGGATCCGGTCTTTTGGCGCAGTCACGTCGGCGACACCTTTGTTATCTTCTACAAGAAGGTAATGCTGAAGTTCCGTAAACTGCTTAGCGCAATTTTTGCAGATATGCAATTCAGGAGGAAAGAAGAAAAGGAGAAACAGACACCCGTTCTTGATGTGGTCGTTGACGGAAGTCGCGAGGACGGACCAGAAGCGACGATTTACATGAAGGCGACGAACACCCCACAACTCCTCATTTCCACTGAAATCATCCAGCAGCTCATAAACGAAGCCGTCTGGGAAGACTCTTTAAACGGATCAAACCTTACTGCGACAAAACCAATTAAAGCGCACACAAGGTGCTACACCTCTGCAACCAGTTTATGCGGAACAGCTGTTCTAAGGCGCTTATAAACCGATTGCTATGTTTACGTCCCCAAAAGACCTCACTGGGAAAACCACCGATGACATGGCATGCTCCGCACACATACTGGGATTTTCATGGGCAATCGAGCGCATTGCTGCAGGACTAGCAAGTGCGCAACGACCCAGAGCTACCATGCGCAGCAATTTCATGGAAATGAAGAACTAATTAAACCCCAGGGTTCAGTCTGGGGTAATTTATCATATGACTTGTCCAAACTGCCTTTGTGCCTGCATAGGTCGGACTGAACGCATGCTCGAATCACGCAAACACGAACATAAATTGAGTGTGTAACAGAATGAAAAATATCACATATGGCTGGCCTCACCTATGAAACGGATAACAATTTCAACTTCGCAGCCACCGAGACAATTGCCACGCCGGAAATTGATGAAAACTTGGGCTTGGATGAGAACTTAGTCAGTTGCAGTATTTCTGACGTCGGTATACAGAACCCTGCGCAGTCACGCCACGACTACGGCACTAGCCTTTTACTATCAAACAATCTCTATACCTGTCGATTGTTCTATTGCTGTTGTCATCTTTATGACAATGGAATCCTGCAAGAACTCGAAAGCTCGGACTCATAGACAAATCGCCCCGGGGATACGTTAGTTTTCTTCTTTGCTCATGTATACATTCAGAACTCGAGCGTTCACCTTCATTTGAAAGATTCCTACGCCGCCTCAGCTATAGCACATCGGCTCAGCTTTGGTCTCCTTCACCGTACTTTGCCAGAGTGTGTGAGATGAGTGAGGTAAGGAAGTGGCCGGCACAAGTCACCATTATGCCCTCCATGAGAAATTGTAGCCCGTATCTTTCACCATGGGTAAACCACCGTTAGTGCTTACCAAAGACCAAATGCGTGTATGTGTATACTGAGGCAGATTAGAATTTCGTTTTCCATCTCATTTTTTATGTGACAAGCAGATACTAATTTTTCAGAGAAACTACAATCTGACCCTGTAATATACTGATGTTTAAGTTCTTTTTTGATCGAAGTTTAGTGCCACAAAATGATCACCTTGATTCTTGTCACCGCGTTTCATTGGTCAGATCACATACGGTTTTTGTGGAAATGTTTCTGAGGAAAATCACATATGCTGATTTTTGACAGATTCATTTCGATAAGCAATTTGAAAACTCGTTCGAATCCATTTTTCCCAAGTTAAACACCGACATTCATCGAATAATGTTATTAGTCATATCCGAAAGAGCTTCTCCCTGTCATCTAGAATTGTGCAATTATTTACCGTACTGACAACATAGGTACTAGCTGAAAGCCCAGACACGCGTGTTTCACCGGTCTTGTTCCGCTGACGGATGCAGCTGCGAGGTGTCGGCTCATCAGTGGGTCCCGCAGCAATCTTCGTGTGTTTTCGGCCATATGCACTCCAGCTTCACTTTACTTTGTTTGATTTCTAAAGAAATTAATGCGCCCACTTGAAATAAATCCTTTGGAATCGATCTTTTCAGGCACTGTCCGAAATTTGCTGAGCTGTGTTGTCAGTAAGGCAAATAATTACACACCTCTATGCTACTGGCTGCCTGTTGGCGGTTTGTGAAGATTATGCGGTTATTCCACCGAACCTGATGTATTTCAGCCCAAATATTAATAGCAACTTTCGGACCGTGCCTGAAAAGGTCTGGTCCGAAGGATTTACTTCAAGTTCGCGCATTAATTTCTTTGGAAATTAAACAAGGCAATATGTCATCTGCGCGCCTGGTTTCCGCCAACGCCGAATTCAAATATGGACATACTGCCTTTAACCTCGCCTCTACAAAGGATTCCTAGGACGGAACAGAACAACCCTCTTAGACCAGTAAAGAGCCTCTCACCCCCAACATTTTGCCCACCATCGTAGAAATTCCAAGCCAGACACTTTTACAAACGAGCATGTAGGTGCCGTCATCAAGACGTCTTAGGGTCCGGTTTCTGCCAAATGGCTGTACTTCCCCCCTCACATACATCGATCGGCCCATCCGATAGCCGCAGCTCAGGAAAGTAACAGACGTAGAAGCATGAATTGTCTTCACAGCCCTTCTCAGGTGTTTAGTCGATCTATTTGGAGTTCCTCCCACAAGAATGCTCACTTTGGGTCCTGGTCCGGTAAATTCTTCTCCACCCTTCCAGACTGCACGACTCTTCTCTCGATTGCGAACGCGATTGTCCAGCAATCTGACGGGCGGCTGAGGACGACCTTATGCGTCTTGAAGTATTTAACGGACTTGACTGAAGAAATTATCCTCACTCATCTTGAAACTTGGTTGTGCCTTAATTCTGATCTCAACTGTTCGTCGCTGAGACATTTTTTGCGCCACCATTTACCTCTGAGAAAAAGTATTCACCCTCTCTGTCTGCCCTGCCAGTAAAGATCAAAAAGGTCGTTCGGTGACTCCGGCAATTTATGCGCAGCCTGCCTGAGGCTGCATTACGGTCAGTTGTCTTTAGTTATACCTCAGGAAGTACTTGATGGCTTACACTCACATCCTTCTCAGGCGAGATCAGGTGCTCCGACAACAGCGGTTACCGTATGAGGACACTTTTTAGATTGCCTCCCAGGACGCAATGACTCTGCGCATCCGACATGTTGATAGTGAAGGCGCAGTCTGCAGCGACCGCGCGAAGGTTGCGTCCCATGCTGTCTGCAGTTCCCTCTCTCCTGCTCCTTTACCTCTCCTGTCCTCCACCCACCAGTTTCCCCCCCT